CAATAAAAAAATAAATTAAAAAAAAGATCTATTTGGTCTAACATTTCAGCTATCAGGATTGTATGAGTGAAACATTTTGTCTTCCTTGGGTTTTACATCTCTAATGATTGTGAAGGTGACACCACTCTGTGTTTAATAACAAATGTGTGAATGGAAATGCAGAATCTGTTACTTCATGTATGTCAAACAGGAATGAGAAGATACTGTTATGCTTTGGCTATGCGGAATCCCCCAAAAGTTTCTGTGTCAATGCAGAAAATGAAATGATTATGAGAGCCATAATGTACGCAATGGATTAATTCTTTAATGAATTAATAATTTGAATGTATTACTGGGCCATAGCTGTAGGTGAATGAGGTGTGGATAGAGTAAGTGTGTCACTAGGGTATTCTTTTTGGATTATATATTTTTTCCCAGGCTCCTCACACTGTTTCCCAGCTGTCATGTGCTGAATAGTTTTTATCCAGTTTGCCCTACTGCCATGACGTTCTGCTGACCTTATGCCCAGAGAAGAGGCATAAGCCAACCATGAACTGAAACTCTGAAACCAAGAGTCAAAAAAAATTTTTTTCCAACTGCTAACATAGCAGTTGGAAGCAAGAAGTGGGATCATTGCTGTGACTAACTAGACCATGTTGTATACAGTTTTTAAAATTAGTTGGTGTGAAAGTTTTGAAAAGTTTGGAGATGCAGGCTAAAGAAGGCTTAAAATGTTGCAAGCACAGCTTCATGAGTGATTCTGATGAGAGTTTCAATAATCAGAATGTGGATAGGAATGGGAAGAGTAAGGAATGTGTTCATGAGCTTTAAAGGGGATTGGGCACTCTGTTGGAAATTGTAACAGAGGAAGGACAGCTTACACCTGGGTAAAAAAGTTGACATGAGACATTCTGCAAGGTAAATTTAAATTTTGTGGACTAATGAATCTGCAAGAGAAAATACCAAGACAACACAGCATTCATGTACTGGCATAGGTGTTTCTGGAAGCTTTCAGCCATGTTTACACTGAGAATCCTGTCAGAAACAAGAAGAAAGATTTAAAACACTTGCAGTTTAGCAAAAGAAGAAATACTGGTAATGTGTGCTTGCTGAGGAGATTACCACCACTAATGAGAAATTGAGTGTTTGTATGAGAGGATAAGAAAGATGCCTTGAAGGTATCTCAGGAATCAGCATGACCACATCCATTGCAGGCTCTGGGGTGTAAAAGTAAAACCCCAGAGAACATGGGAAGACGCTGTTCTCACAGGGGTGCCTAGAAAGTTCTTTCCCCAGGATTTGTTTCACCATGCTCCATCATCCAGGCACCAAGAAGCTACTATAGGCCTGGTCCAAGGGGCTTCAGTTTTGCTCCAGCAGGCACCAGACTGGTATCCTCCATGTGGAGCTTATTTTTCAGGAATACAGTATGCTGGAGTTAATGGGAAATTAAAACTTCCACCAAGATTTCCAAGGAAGGCCTCAGAGATCAAGCAAAGAGTGACAGGGTTAGAAGTCCTGCATGTAACCCCTGAGAGGGTGATGTATGAAGCTGTAAAGATGAAATTATGGATGGAATGGGAAATGCCAGAATTAAGATACACCAGTGCTATGATATGTCTGCTGAGGAAAGACATTGTCTATGAACAGAGCCAGCTTAAGAGAGGGTCCATGTGGACTGAAACTGGCAAGGCCATAGGTGTGGGGTTGCCCAGGCCCCTATGAGATCACACCTCATACCATAGGGCCCAAAAGCTGAATGTGGGATTCCTGGACCTAATGTTAACCTGCTGGGGTTTAATCTTGTTTTTGTCCCAACCCTTCAGTGTGTTGCCATATTCTTCCCCTTTGTAATGGAAAGGTTTCCTCTGTGTCTTTATATATTGGCTGCCTATAACTTGCTTTCAATTTGGGGGTTTGGACTCAAAGTCAAGAGTTTCCCTTTAGTCTCAGAGCAGAATTTGGACTTGGGTTTTGGGGAAGTACTAAAATTGTTAAGGCTATGGGGACCCTGGAAATGGACTAATCACATTTTGCATTGTGAGATGAAGATGAGCTTTCGGGGACCCGGGTTGGAATGTTATGTTTTGGATATAAGGTGTTGCCCAAAGGCCCCTGTGTTCAAGTGAAAGGTGAAAAGATTCAATGATAAAACCTATAACTTAATTATTGGATTAATCTAATGAATCAATAATTTGAATGGATAATCTAATGAAGCAATAATTTAAATGGATTACCAAGTGGTAACTGCAGGCAGGTGGGTCATGGGTAGAGGAGGTGGGCCACTGACATCATGCATTGGGGATTCTATATTTTGTTCCTATCTCCCTGTGTTCTCTCTCTCTCTCTCTCTCTCCCTCTCTCCCCCAGCTTACCTCTACCATTTCCCTCTGTCTTGATATTCTCCCTTGCCTTGGCAAAGAGAAATGGAATTGGCTAGGCATAAACTGAAACTCTTAAAGAGTGGTCCAAAATCAACTTTCCAAGTTTTTCTTGTCAGGTATTTCTGTCACAGAGATGAAAAGAATGACATAAGCATTCACCCCAAAATACACATTTTACATGAATGCTGTTTTAGGGTACTTGTGAAATGGCAAAGGAAGAAGCATCCTCTTTGCCTGCTTGATATCTGCTCAAAAACAGAATAGCAATGCTTTCTTGAAAATAACCTAAGACTTCAGTCATCACAGAAGTTGACACCACTGCAAACTACAAACAAACTCTTTAAGCTTCCTTCTTTTCCTTTAAGGAATTTGTGAAATCTCCATGTCGAAGACATCCCCTCCTGTCTGCAAATACTAACATGCTTGTGATTTAGGACTGTAAGTTTACCATCAGGGAAAAGTGCACAAACCATCACTTTCTTCTCAAGGATGATAATGAAAACAGCAAAATCCGGTATTTAGCTTTTATAGTTTCACTCTGATGACAGGCAAATACTCCAGCCAGAATTAACATGAGATGATGGCTAGCTTTGTCAATCATGATAAAATTTTCATGAGGATTCTAAATAGAATTGTTAGTAACAGATGAATATGTGCAAGAAAGTTAAAGTGTATTAAGGGGTTTTGGCACTGATTATATTTATAAAATATCTGTTAAAATATTTTCCAATTCTCAGACCTTGAACTCCTAAGTATTGATAAGTTCAGTTATGTAATGCATATTTAGTAAATATCTAAGTTAGATTACCTAAGATAATTTTAATTGCTAATCGTAAACAGTAATGTATCTACTCTTATCTTACAAAAAAAAAAAAAAGAAACACTACTCAATGTGCTAAGAATTCCATTCTGTGGAACAAAAATAGTTAAAAAAAGCACTAAATGCAACTTAATAAAATCAAAGAAACTAAATGAAGAATTCAAAATAAATAAGGAAAGCAGCTCTATATATGAGAAGGGTAAAACAAGTTTCCAACAAGCAAAGAGATAAGCTCTGAAAGATTTGTTTTTGTGATTAAAAAGAGAGCAATTCTTGTTGTTAATCAGAATTAATTGTTTCACAACAGGGAAAAAACCTAAATAGATATTAGAAAATCATAGTTATTTCTGGAATGGGAATTCTGAAAAATAAATTATGTGTGCAATTAACCTGGCTAAGATTTGATTGCATTTATTCACAAATTATGATTTAAACTGGTTTACACTTCCAATATCGTAAGGGTTTTGGAAGAAAAAGGGAAGCAGTTTTGATGTCGGTTGAAATAATAAATTTCTCTGAGTATTCATCTTAAAATGTAGAGGATTTTTTGTTCCTTTCATGCAAATGGTCCAAGAACCAAAGATTTTGTTACATCAGGATACTTTCCATATGCTTCCTGTTGTGTTTTATGCAGACCTTGACTTCTTAAGAAACGTGAGTCTTCTCAATATTACAACACCTCAGTTTCCATCTTACAACTACCTCACCCAATGTGTCTGCATAATATTTTGACACTTTGGGTTTGTTTGAAATTGAGCCATGATTGTATTTATTCAAATGTTGTTGAACCTTTGGACAGGTTTGAATTCTTCCAAAAATGATATTCTCATTCAAGCCATTTTGTACTTTATAGGATTTTACAAAATTCTAGCGAGTTTCAAAATATCTCAAGTTATTTTCACTTTAACAAAATAGGGGGAATAAAATTAATTAGGAATGAATTGTCATGGGATCCAACATTTTCAATCTCAGTTACTTGGGAATAAACAGTAGGAGGAGCGTGAGTTCACAGTCAGCCTCATGAACAAAGCAAGACCCTATATTAATTACCAAATAGATAATTAAATAATAAATAAAAATTATATAAAACATATAACAAATAATCATATAAAATACCTAGAATGTTTCAATGTGTTATAATTTCTTTAAAGATACAATGTTTTAACTTTGTTGAGTAATATAAATCTGTATGATTGATGTATGTCCAAGAAACTGTATGAAATTCTCAAATGCCTGATACATCATAGTGCGCTCTGATCAGCCCAGGCACTACTCTATAAGCCTGATGACGATCCAGAGACTGAGGAAAACCAGAAGTCATGTCTGAAGTTCGCCAAGTTTCATGTCTCAGAAAATGCACCTTACTGTCTATTGACCAAATTCCCACAGGTTCCAAAGAAAGGTGGGAATCTAGAGAGGGACAGAATTAGGCAATGATGAACTCAGGAGAGAAATGATGGGTTCTAGGGGAAAGGTGCCTGAACCTCCATTCTCATTCTTGGAAAAAGGGGTCAAAGATTTTCAAAATGTGTAGAACCTCTCAGCCTTTGCTAATTCCTCACTGATATTCTATATTCTTTCTTTCCTGAACATTTACAAGCATTTAGTACATATATTCTCAAATAGTTTTAAAGCTTGCACTTGGGATGTAAGGGATGCTGGAAACATGGCAGTGATTACACCTGACTTGTGGATGAAGAAGGAGGGAAGCTTTCTGGAGGCATCCATGAGGGAGGTGCAGGATATTCTTACACTGTGTCCATGACCTTCAGATTCCACACTCTCCCACGCCAGAAAGAGAGACAGCAATCAGAAAATGCATGCTGATTATTTTATTAGTCTATAGAGGACATGACTATGACCATATTGTTCCATGGCAGAATTTTCCGAAGGACATGGTCTTCTTATTCACTTTCTGAAACAAAAAAAGGGGGGGGGAGTTTGTAGGGAAGATGTGACATGCAGGAGGTTTCTAAAATCTGACTGGCATCACCGAAGCCCTGCAGGGAAGAGCCCACGTGCTCTTCTCCTGCTTCTCCTTCCACCCTGGTTAGACAGCTTGCACTGAGCGTGCTCTACATTCACACTTACAATATGAGGAAATAAAGATAACTACTGGAAGGAGAGGTATGAGGATTGAAACTCAACAAGTTACATTTTTCACTGTGTGAATATGTGGTTTTAACACATCCCAATATCATGTGTCATTATAATGTATCCATAAAATAGTTAACATACCCCATATCAGGGGTAATTATAATGGATCAATAAAAATATAAGAAGAATATTTTGGGGTTACTAATTTTGTGGATGGTATTGAAAATAGTCATGATCAGATGTACAAAGGGGATATCTGCAAAGTCCAACTATAGTAGGGGTATTACACATGGCTTGATTAGAGAAGGTTTGAATCAGTAACTCCATGAATTACTAAAAATTGCAAAATAATAAAGAAGGAGGCAAAAAGATGGAGAAGGAGGAGGTATTTTGAGAAGAAGAAATGGATAAATTCAAAAATTAAGGTAGAAATTTATTTAGAAAGAAGAAAAAATAATAAAAGGAAGAAAAAAGGAGGAGGGAAGGATGATGGTGAAATGATATGTATATCTTGTGAACTGCTCTGAAATTGTTATAAAATATGGTACTTGAAAGGAGAAACAATGAGATCTGAGTAGAATTTATGATACTCATTTGTAGAGTAAAATAGAGAGAGGTGCTTATATGTGTATGAATGTTTCCAAGAGGATATACAAAAAAATTAATGATCCAGATTTATGGTGGAGGTTAGGAGGAGGTAGGATAAGTGCATTCATGATTTAGTTGAACATCTTTTTATTCAGTTGGACTTTCCAGTCAGGTGTAGATTAATTTGTCATAAAGCAAATAAAAATCGAGTGTCCAATTAGGAGCACAGAGGTGAATTCACATGGCAGGGATTCTAGACTGAGAGGCTCAGTGGTTGATAGAACTGTCTTTTCATGATCACAAGGAAACAGGAAATGGGCAATCATCTGAGTCTGAGCAAGGAGACACAGAACAAAGGGAGTTCAATGCCCTGCCCCCCAAAAGCAGCCATGCTTAGTAAACATTGACAGAAAGAACATTTGGTACAGGATGACAGATGATCAGAGTTACCTTCAAGAACTTAAATGGTCATCCTACACTGCCCAAGAATGCCTGATTACACCCATTTAGAAATGGGTTCCATGACCCTGTACTTTCAACATGTTTCCAGATGATTTGTTAGCACCTTCAATTCTGAGAAGCACAATTAGGGCCTTTGTTAGAGAGTGAGCTTAAATCACAGTGGACCCAGAATTCTAGGGTATACTGGGTAGACTGAGCTGGGGAGGACTTTCTACTCTATCCACTTGGGAGAGTGAAGGTGATGCCCAGGGATTGGCAGGATGATATGAGGCAGAAGCTCCCAATTACCTTCTGATTGGGGGGGTCCCTGCTGCTGTCCAGGGCGAGGAGGGCGGCCTTGCTGCTGCTGCTGCTGCTGGCCTCCTTGCTGTGGGGGTCCCTGTTGCTGTCCAGGACGAGGAGGGCGACCTTGCTGCTGCTGCTGCTGCTGGCCTCCTTGCTGTGGGGGTCCCTGTTGCTGTCCGGGACGAGGAGGGCGACCTTGCTGCTGCTGCTGCTGCTGCTGGCCTCCTTGCTGTGGGGGTCCCTGCTGCTGTCCAGGACGAGGAGGACGACCTTGCTGCTGCTGCTGCTGCTGCTGGCCTCCTTGCTGTGGGGGTCCCTGCTGCTGTCCAGGACGAGGAGGGCGACCTTGCTGCTGCTGCTGCTGCTGGCCTCCTTGCTGTGGGGGTCCCTGCTGCTGTCCAGGACGAGGAGGGCGACCTTGCTGCTGCTGCTGCTGCTGGCCTCCTTGCTGTGGGGGTCCCTGCTGCTGTCCAGGATGAGGAGGGCGACCTTGCTGCTGCTGCTGCTGCTGGCCTCCTTGCTGTGGGGGTCCCTGTTGCTGTCCGGGACGAGGAGGGCGACCTTGCTGCTGCTGCTGCTGCTGGCCTCCTTGCTGTGGGGGTCCCTGTTGCTGTCCGGGACGAGGAGGGCGACCTTGCTGCTGCTGCTGCTGCTGCTGGCCTCCTTGCTGTGGGGGTCCCTGCTGCTGTCCAGGATGAGGAGGGCGACCTTGCTGCTGCTGGCCTCCTTGCTGTGGGGGTCCCTGCTGTTGTCCAGGACGTGGGGGACGACCTGGCTGCTGCTGATTGCCTCCTTCTGGTGGTCCCTGCTCTGAGTCATCACCTTCATCTTCATCTTCATTGTCATCTCCACCATCAGCAGGGGGTCTGGGTGGGCGTCCTCCAGGAGGTGGTCTGTGAGGGACTTGTTCGGAGCTCTGGCTGGGGTCCTCAACCTCTGTGTGAGTACAGAACAAGAGTAGATGTGATGGCTGGTAGAAGAACCTCAGCGGGCACCTCTCTGGACTTGGTACACAGACTCTTTATTCTAGAACTTGCCTCTCAACTCTAAACTCCATTTCCATTTACTCCCCTCGGGGAATCTCTTAACTGATATACTCATCACGTGGACTGTTTCTTACCCAGATTTGAAAGTTTTTCTCCTCTGAATTTGCATTAAGGGAAATCTTTGATACCTTCCAGTTGCCAAGCAAAGCAAAGGGATTGTATATCTGAATGCTACCAGCTATCACTGCATGCAGTGATAACTTGTTGTCTATGAATTCATGTCAGACATGTAAGCCACATGTTGAATCAAGACATGTAGTCGTTTAGTGACCTACACTAACCTTGATAAGATGTAATAGAGTGAAGGAAACCCAAGGTGATGGGCCACAGGGAATTGGCTTAGACCGTGCAGCATGTATTGATCTGCTAGAAGTACTGATGAACAGTATCACAAGGTACACAGACACATAATTCTGTGCATTTCGTTCCAGAGCTCTATCATCCAGGGGATTTAGGAAGCACTGAATGACCACTGAGGATGCAGATTAGCTCATTTGCATTTTTCTGTCACCTCTCAGAAGTTCTTTCTCTCTGGGCAACACCTTAACTCTGCCTTTTGTTATCAAGCTAGTAGTTCTGGTCATTTTCCCCAGAATAAATCTTTGGAAAGGCTTTTTTATATTATTGAGGGAAATGACAGCCATTAGTTGCTGAAAATAAAAATGATGGTAAGGAGAGGTTGTAGAAATGAACTTTCCTGAGGAAAAGGAGAAGATCAACTGAGGATGAACTGGCCTTACCTGTCGATAGAGTGGAAGGGCCTTCATTGCTGACCTCTAGGAAATAAGAACAGATGAAGTGAAAAGTTAGTCACCAATCTCAGGGGTCACCCAGGTTCTACTGGGAAAGGTGACTTCCAACCACAACCTGGATCCCCTCTACGTGAACTCAGCCATGCTCTCTGATGCTGAGGAAAGCAGAGGAAGATGTGAGAGAAAGCCTGGTGGTGCCCGTGCTTAGCCTTGCCACATTCATGAAAATATGGAAACCATTTAGGTCTTAACTAGCATCTGTAGAACATTATGGTTAATATATGATAAGAGTTCTGGGTATTTCAATATCACAAGTGGGTATTTTGTGTTTTTTTTTCCACCTCTTTTAAAACCTTAGTGCTTCTTCACTTCATTTTTTGAGTATGGAAATCTTCCATGAACTTTTAGGCCCACCTCATGCACACAGCTCATTGAAATACTGACTGTAAGTCAGAGATAAATGAGAAACTGGGCCCTGATATTTATCTCCCTCTCTATAGACAGAGTCCAGTGTAGTCTCTGGATCTCTGTCTCTGACATAGCTCTGATGTTGGGATTTCTCCTTCCTATGTCCTGCATCTGCTGTATAGCCAGGAAGCCTGCAGCCTCTCTGCTTGGAATACAATAATGTCTCCACAGCAGGCTTCCCTGTGTCAGTCTCTCCCCTTCCTTGCATCTCTGACAACAGGGAACAATCTTTCTTCAAATGCAAAACTTACATCTCCATGCTTTTGCTTGAAAATTGAGAGGGATGTTCCAACTTTACCTAAAAGTCTAAAGCCCTGGCATGAAACAGAGCCATGTGTGGTATTACAGTTTTCATAAAAACTCTGTAGTCCTGTCCTCATAATCTTCCCTCCCTCCCCTTCCCTCTCTGTAGTGTGGCTTTCTAAACCACAGAAGTTCCTACAATCCCCATTTGCTTTTACCTTCATTTGAGCTCTGAGCTGGGCTCAGGGCCAGCAAGGCCACTGTGAGCAGGACCACCAGCATCTTGGAGGAGGTTGTGCAGTTGCTCCCAAATCTGTGCTGGGGGAAGCCAGGCAACTCCCTTTATATGGAGGAGTAGAACAGTGGTGCCTTTGAGCTCCATGCTGGTGACCTCATAGCTGACACACAAGGATGTCTTGCATCCTTGCTTTCTCTTTGGGACCTCAGCCCAGCAGGATGAGGTGGACAGGCAGTTGTCAGTATGTCCTTTCTAGGAGGCACAGCATGTGAGTTGAGCAACAGTGTTGAAGCCAAACTGTCCTCACAATCAGCACCAATATTAGAACAGAAGTTCCATAATTACGTGAATTTGTCTGTTTAATGAGACTATGAATCTGTCCTTCTACTGTGAATGTGTTTGTGGGAAGTTGTACTGCACACATGTTTTTTTGTGTCAACAGTGACCTTATTTGCAATGTGATTTGGTTGGTGCATGTGTTTTTAAAACCCAAACTCAGTCAATGAAGATGTATGAGTCCCTATATGTATTGAATATTGTGAAGGTGTGATGAGTTACTGGTATTTCTCCTCAGATCTCTGATCAGTCAGGAGCCACACATGAATATGTGGTAACAAAACATTGACCCTTAGCCTGTTAGAACCTGAAAAATTGCCCAGAAATCATACGACTGGCTTTTATAAGGGAAATCTTGATGTTGTACTAACACACATGGGAATAAAAAGTTCTGTTTTCACTAATATGTTTGGGTGGATTTAAAGCAAAGTTGTCAGATGATACCCTGTGAAATTTCCCTAGCAGTGAAACACAGATATACATTTCCAAGATGAGCAGTGCTATTCCACAATCTCAAACTTGTTCAAAGCATTGCCATATTCCATAGTGTTCTTTATCACTTCCAGTGAAAATGGGTTGGGCATAATTATGCATTTCATTAATGCAGGCTCATAGCATCTTTGAAATCTCAATTTCATTGCATTCACATTCTGTGTTACAGTCATATTCTATCTGGTTGTCTGGGATTAGTATTCACAATGAGGAACATTCTTTACAATAATCTGAGTGGTCATCATCCCTACTCTCACAAAAATAGGTGATTTATTGTGTTCTGAACTCAACCTCCCTGCATTTATTTATCATTTTATGTTTCCTCCCTCCTTCATTTTGGGAGAATTCCTTTATTTAATCTTATACATCAACTTTTATTCCATTCTTCACTAGCTGTGTTTCATTTTTTATTCCAGAATTCTGGAGCAGGGTACTGTGTTTCTGTCAGGTCCCTGCATGACTTGCTGTACCATCTGCTATTCATTGTGCTCTCTAGTAGTTACCTGCTCACCCTTATCAGGGACAATCTAAACCCTTCTGTACTACCAGCTGCATCACATCTTTTCAGACCTTCTCCAGGTGTGTGCAAGTGTTCAGTTATGCAGGACTGGTGATAAGTTGATGGGCATGTTTGGAGGTATGGCAGGGAGAGGTATGGGATTGGAAATGGTAAAGGGGTCTCTTATCAACCGGGTGCAACTGGATCCCTTGTTGTGTATGTGAGTGTCCTTTTTGCCCTTTTTTCCAGAGCATACTAAAGGAAGGCTTCCTAAATAATGGGGTTGGCTGCAGATATGAGTAACCCTTCAAGGTGACCAGGCTGGTGGATATACATATATATTTGGATATATTCCATATGGGGTGATGGGGTGCATATTACAAGTTGGTAATCCTTTGCAGACCATGTTAAAAAAGAGACATTGTCCCTCGGCTAATGGGTTTTTGGGAGACACAGCAGAGCTGCTTTGGCCTGGCACATTCTTCTATTTACTGCCATGACAGCCTAATTTCTGCAGACACAATATGAGAAGAGAACCAGGTGTTGAGTGGTCCTCACCAGATGACATACTGTTGATCTTCAGATGGGAAAGGAGCTACAGAGAGAGGGAGCAAAGGGGAGAGCCGGTCTGAGGTTCCTCCCACTCCATGTGAACAACTATGGATGTTGCAGTCTGCTGCAGTCATCCTTGTCCTTGGCTTAGTGGGTCCTGTCAGAGAGTAGGTGATTCTTCCAAATATCACTCATTCTGGGTCTCTTCCTGCCCTTTTCCTATATCAGCAATGCATGAAAGCGGCTAGTGCATCCTGAAAGAAAAATATCACTTTTGAACGCACCAGACACAACCACACTGAGGCAATAGAGCACTGATAGAGCATCTGTCAGTTAAGAAGGGTGTGGTTGAAGCCTTGAGCAAGGCCACAGCAGGAAGTTTTGGGAGCCCTAGGTGAGTAGACACCCTCCAGCAAGGGTCTTGTCTGAAATGTGTACTCTGTCTTGATGTAGAATAATCCCAGTTAATCTGGATGCACAGAAGAGGATCATAGGTTGGAAAACACACTGGGAAGCTTAGCAAGATGCTGTCTGAAAACACAAAAAATGAGCTGGAGTTGAATTCACTAGTACAATGGATCTGTTTTCTTTTTTTTTTTAATTTTTTATTGTTGGTTGCTCAAAACATTACATAGTTCTTGATATATCATATTTCACACTTTGATTCAAGTGGGTTATGAACTCCCATTTTTAGCCCATATACAGACTGCAGAATCACATCAGTTACACATCCATTGATTTACATATTGCCATACTAGTATCTGTTGTGTTCTGTCAATGCCCAGTACACAAAAGACAAAATCAAAAATATGAACAAATGAAATATGCCAACACAGAAATCTAGATTTCTACATCTGAATCACCCATCTTTGTTTGTGTTGTCTGCCCAAAATAAACATGTGCTGGGTCTAATTAATAACATTAAATTATTTTCACTCAAGTGTGGAGACTCAGGTCGGCATTTAAGTTATTTTCTCTTTATTAAAAAAAAAGAAAGGAGTAAAATTAATTAGGATTGACAGGGCTTGGTTCCCACATTTCTAATCTCAGGATTTGGGAATATAAATTAGGAGGAGTGTGAGCTCAAGGTCAGCCTCACCAGTATAGCAATATCCTACATTAAATAATAAATAGATAATTAAATCATAAATCAAAATTATATAAAAGAACAAATGAATAATTTTATGATATACTTAGAATTTCAATATGTTATAATCTCTTGGAAAATAAGATTTTTCTTTTCAAATTGTTGAGTCTTATAAATTCATATGATTGGTATTGATATTGGTATTGGCATTGGCCCTAGAAATTGTAGAAAATCCTCATGTGCCTGATACATCATGGTGCACTATTATCAGCTACAGCTCTATTCTATAAGCCTCAAAGGTCTAGAGACTGCAAAAACAAAAAAACAAACAAAAAAAAAAACCAAAACAAACAAACAAACAAAGAAACAAAAAAACTAAAAGTTATGTATGAAGGTCTCCAGGTTTCATGTCTTTACAAATCCACCCTACTGCCTATGTACCAGATTCACACAGGTTTGGATGAAGAAACATGGGAATCTCGAGAGGGACAGATTTAAGCAATGATAAATCTGAGGAGAGAAAAGTTGGGTTCTAGGGAAATGGTGTCTGAATTTACATCCCCACAATTGGAAAATGGGAACAATGATTTTGGAAATGTGTAGACCCTCTCAGCCTGTGCAAATTCCTCACTGATATTCTATATCCCTTCTTTCTTGAAAATTTACAAGCATCTTAGTACATATATTCTCCAAGACTTTTAAAGCTTGCACTTGTCTTATGAAAAGTAAGTGATGCACGAAACCCTGCAATAATTACACCTGACTTGTGGATGAAGAGGAAAGGAAGCTTTCTGGAAGTATCCATGAGAGGGGTCCAGGATGTTCTTACACTGTGTCTATGACCCTCACAATCCCCAGAAAGAGACAGCAATCAGAAAATGCATGCTGATTATTTTATTGGTCTATAATTATTACCGAAGGACATTGTCTTTCTATTCTCTCTCTGAAACAAACAAAAGGGGAAGGTTATAGGGAAGATGTGACATGCAGGGGGTATTCTAATCCCTGTCTGGCATCAACTGAAGCCCTGCAGGGGAGAGCCCACCTCCTCTGCTTCATTTTCTTACCCTTCCCTTTTTGATTTCTTTTTCCTTCACTCTGGTTAGGCA